GGCACATAAACAACAATGTTAGATGGTATCATCAATTCATTCTTGGATAAAAGTAAAAACCATTCATACACAAAATGCACATGCCAACTTTTGACAAAAGATACTACCTTTCACATTTAACACTACATATGTTTTGAAATTATTTTTTTTCCAGAATGAAAGCAGCTTTGTAGAGAGGGAAACAAAATGTATTTTTCCAGGAGGAAAATTGGTTGGTGTATTTGACGATTCAACCAAGACTTTCATTAATTTACCCCAAACAACAATTTGTTTTCTGCTTAAGTGCCTGGGAGAGTGGGCAAACTTTGCAGCCACAGTATAAATGAGATTCAGCTCTATTGATTCATGTGGGTAAAGTGGGGTCACCGCAAAACAGAAAGAAAGGAAGACAAAAAAAAAAGGGCCTGCACAACAGAGTTCCAACAACAAATAATCACGACAAAATAAACACCTCGAGGATAATAGTGTACACTGAAGATAGCATTGCAGTATCTTCATTAAGATGGGGTGAACAATAGGAGGCAGCTAGCTGTCAATAAAAGCATGCAGACAATAGATGAGATGCTTGTATAAAATCCATGAGGGACATTTTGATGAGTCAGTTTGTGTGGGTAAAAAGGGATCAAAACCAAAACTTCTTAATGATCTTCCACACTTTGCACTCAGCTTACAATATAGAAACCTCTCTGCTCTCAGACGTCTTCACTGGGAAATCAAAAAGTTCCCCTAAATGTGCGTCCAGTCTAAATTTCATTAGTTGCTCAGAATAAAACTCTAAATGTATATCTTGCCATTCTCTTGCGGCCCCAAGAGTGATGGACAGCATTCTGAATCTACTTCTCCAGGATTACCCTATTTCAGCTGTTTTTTAATTGAGTTTTAGAAAAGCTCAGTAGCCATGGCAGGATGATAGCAGGTCCTCTGAGGCTTCACCCAGACTAAGCATGTGAAACTCATAGTCTTCAGTAAAAAGGTCATGTGGAAGTTAGAGTATTAATTACAACCAAAAGTCACCGGCCTCATGAGGGTCCCCATTTTCCATATACACAATACTGGGTTTATTAGGGCCTGTGTTTCTTTGCAATTAACCTCAAAGTAATCTTTTAGAAGAATGATAATGAGCCGAGTGTCTGTCAAAAGTAATGAAGATCTTGAGCTTTTCGCACTGACACATTGTGATTTTTTTTTTTAATACATTCAGCTCATTAGGAGCAGTATGGAAGAAAAGTGTCTCATTCACACAAACTTGCCCTCTTCACCTTTGTCCTCTCTTTACTGCTCCTGTGTCAGTCTTTGCACTGTTATTCCCTGTACTGACTCTCCCAAACCAATTAGTAAAAAGTAGATAATATACTGAACTGGTATTATTTCTAAATGAAAGTGAGGTTACATTGACTAGTGCACAAATAAAAGGAGAATACTCTGAAAAGGGTGGCAGTGCACAAAATAATAAAAAATAAATCTGTGAGAATGAAACGATCAGTTAGCCAAGCATGGCCCTACAGCCATTCAGTATTTCACTGGACCTGAACATGTAAATCCTCCACCGAGGTGGGGCAATCTATCAAGAGTAACGCTGCAAAGAGATATGTAGTGGAGCTCAGGACTCCACATAATGACACCTGCTGGACTGAACAATGATTTTATTTTAAAATGCTTTCTCTGAACAAGTTTAACCCTCTCGAGGCAGGCGTTGCCGATTTGCAACAGTTAAAAACTAACAGCCTGATTACCCCACATACACATTTTATGAGTTTTTTTACTCAGAAGTACCACTGCAGGACTTGGTTGTGCATTAGCAACAAAAAGTTTAATTTGAGCCCGAGAGGGTTAAAAACATAGCAACAGAGCGTACATAACAGAGCCTTGACCATCAGTAACTGTCATTAGAATTATACCACCTCGCTTCATTTTATCATTGTCACGATTCAAGAAGGCTGCTCTGACTTTACTCATTTGTGTGGAATCCTGGGTACTGGGGCTTCTAGTCTGTTCTTTACTCAACTTCCACTTTCCCACACTGCCAAAATTAATTCCGTCATCACTCTGGTCCAGTTGTTTTTTGGGTTTTTTTTTTTGCCAGCCTTCTGTGAACCAATCAGCACTTTCTTTTATTTGCACCTGCAGCAATATGCAGCTGCTCTGACTTTGCATACAATATGCACCATCCTGGGTGGATTGTACTCAGTTAACATAAAAGTAGTCTGGTTTTGCATTCTCTGCCACTTGGGAGACTAATCAGCTGATGCGGATTTTTCTTCACAATCAATTACTAATTTTCACATTCAAAAAGCTACACTTCTATTCTATTACATAATAATAATTTTTCTATCAGGATACTATGTGACACCTGCCAACATTTAGTACATAAATGACATGACCTTCATTTTCTTTAATTTATGATGAAGGCCACTTATTTGAAACATTAGCATGCTTATCGAAATCATGAGAATTCCTTGAAGGAATAAAAATGTGTCAACTTTTCCTTAAATTTTATGTACTACTTTTCTTGTTGACACAATATTTAAAAAACGTGACTTTAGTTTAGCACCATCAAAAAGCCGGTACTATCATCACTACAGGGTTTCCCTGAATATGAAATATGGCTTTTATTTCGCTTTAAGTGGGGATTAATTTACTCAAGCCCAAACACTTTTTTTCTGTATGAAATGACCAAAAGTTGCAGAAAAATACATAAACATCAAAAGACAGGAAACATAGACTCTTTGCCTTAAATATACTTGAACCAGTTGTGCTTAGGTGTACAGTCACCCCCAAAGGCCCATTGTGAGCCAAGAAAAGCCTTGTATGAGGAACACACCTGTTTCAAAGATTTATTTTTGAGAATAGACTTATAAGTCTAGCAGAGGCAGACAGAGATCTCACTAGAGTATAAACTGGATTTTAGCATTCAGTCTTTTGGACTTTTATTTGAGTGAAATGACAAAAAAAATTACAAATACACAATAACTGATTTGCATGGCCACTCGGAGGCTGCAGGAAAAAGCTATAAATGCAACAGACATCTAATGAACTCATTACTGGATAAGGCAGACTTGTTTGCAAACAGTTGCTTATTTACTCATGTTAGGCATTACACCAAGAAGTAAGAAGTAAGAATGTCTTAGAATTGTAATTCTGATCAATAGTTAAATATTAATTCTAGCACTGTTTGCTGGACTGACTTCTCCTCTGGGAAGTGTCTGAATCTTTAGCTGTTCAATGCCGCCACCAGGTAGTTGCTGTTTGCTTTTTAGTCCTGAGCATATAGTGCAAACCAACTTTTAGAGAAATCGCTCAGGCTGCTAAACAATAAGATAAAAAGCTAGCTCTTTCAGTCTGCCACAGTTTTTTCCTATCAATTGGTATTAGTGTGACTACATCTTAAGACTACATTTTACTTTTGGGATAATGCACTCATGCGGTATGAAAAACATCTGCCTTATGTTATCCTGCCATTAATTACGGAGCAAAAAGTTTTGAGATATTATAAATTTATAGAACCAGCTAAGAAAAAAAGCCCCACCACAGCAGAACCTGGCATGTAGTTTTAAGCAGTAGGTATGGTGACAACTATTCCTGAGTGCAACATGATATTTTACCACTTACCCGTTTACTTACAGTCTCCATTAATAAAGAGTGCCCTACACAATGATTGTTTTGAAGTGATTTTGCAGAGGGACATTTTTCTAAAGGACGACTGTTCCAGGAAGAAATACTTAGAAAAAAAAGACAATTTTCTCAGAAATGAATTTCTACTTTTCTACTCTTTAGAGGCTGTTTTAAAAGCCCATTATTGGCTCTAAATGCACCGCTACAGTCAAGTCCACAAGTCCATTTTTGGACAATGATTTTTGTAATTTTGATTTGTACAACACTGCAGTGGATTTTAACTCAAACAATGAACATGTGATTGAATAAGAGACTTTCAGTTTTAATTCAAGTTATTAAAAAAATTATTCCTCTAGGAATTATACTTATTTTTACACATAGCCTCCCATTTTCAGAGGCTCAAAAATAGTTAGACAACTGACTGACAATCAGATTCCTAGCCAGGTACAACCTGTTCCCTTGTTATTTCACGACAAATTAATCTCTCAACATAAAGAAATGTTGATGCAAGAAAAACGCCTTCACAAAATCTAATCAAGTCAAGAACACACTCAGGGAGGTGTATCATTGTCAAGGCCTTCATGAATGCAATTGCAGAGGGTTTACCAAGAGGTGCAAACCACTGGTTACACTCAACAAAAAGGCCAGATTAGAACAGCTCATGATCTAACCTACCCCTAAACCCAAACCGTAACCCTAACCTTCCCCAGCATAATAGAGGTAGTATTATGGCATAGCTTAATGTCATATGTCATGGCTGCAACTGGAACTGGATCACTAGTGTTTATTGATGATGCGACTGGTGACAGAAAAAGGATGATTAATTCTCAAGTGTGCAGGGCTCTTTGCTTAGATTCAGCCGAAAGCTGCAAAACTGATTAGACGGCACTTGACTGTGCAAATGAATAACGACCCAAAGCATAGTGGAAAAGGAACCCAGGAGTTTTTCAAGGAAATTCCCCTTGAGTTTGAGCTGAGAGTCTGCACTTGAATCACATCTCTGTTCTTTGATTTAAAATCCACGGTGGTCGCGTACAGAGAAAAAAAAACAAGACAAACCCCCCCCCAAAAAACACAAAAATGTTTGACTGTTCAAATACTTATGGTCATGACTTTTTAAGAGCAATATAAACAAAGACTGGATACAACCACAAATGTGACAAGGGACTGTGGGGACAAATACAAAGATTATAATGACCATTGTGAGATCATAACAAAACTCTAAATGTTAACAGTAAATGTAAATTTGCCTTAAACCTGGCAAGAATGTGTTTTTTCCACTTTGTTACTATTATTTACCAAATATCGATTTTCAGATGAAATCTTAGCATTAAACAGGGGCTATTGTTTTACAAATAGTGTGACAAATGTATGTGTAAGCCTCTTACCGTTCACTTGAAGAGTGTGGGTCTGAAACAGTTTTTCATATCCATCAGCATAACAGGTGTAGTTGCCCATGTGGGTAGTGGTGACCTTGGTGAAGTACAGTGAACCGTCATCCCCAAAATCCTGCCACACATAGAAGGAAAATAAATAAATAACAGCTTTTATCACTTACAGAAAGCTACCAGAAGCAGCAGGTTTGGCTTTAGGCATTGAGAGCTTGAAATGAATCGTGTCAGTTGAAATGCAACAAGCCTGTGGCGTGCAGATGAGAATCGTTTATAGAACAGGAAATTAAAACTACCACATGACAACCAAAAAGGCACATTGCTGAGCTAATGGCCATCAATCTAAGTCAAAAGTTGAAGCCATTTTGTCCCACAGAACACAGTTAAGAAGAATTGTTTTCAGTTTTTCCAATCAATGGCAAGAAATCTGATGGAAAGGAGCTGAGGTGACAGATGATTATTGTAGAAATTACACATCCATCCATCGGTGGTGCGGCTATATCAGATGTCATAGGGTAAGAAGTACACCCTGAACAGGTTATTCACGTTCACATCTACAGTCAATTTAGAATCACAAATTAACCTAACCTCGTGCATATCTGTGGACTGTGGGAGCTAGAGTACCTCCCACTGATAAATGCAATTTCCACACAGAGTGGATTCAAACCCACAAAAATTACAGTGTTTCACAAACAAAAACAATGAAATATTAAAAATAACAAAAGATACTCATTTGAAATGTAACTGACCTTGAAAAAGGCAAAACATTGACACTTTGTGTCCATGCATGTTCCACAAATACACAAAGCAATGCTCATGTGGTTTATTTCAAGCGAAACAAAACCAAAACCAATCTATGAAAGCCAACTGAAACATGATTAATTCATGCTGTGTTGTGGTTATTAAGCCAGAGAACAGGAAAAGAAAATGGTGCCGAACATGGAAGCAAAGCAGGCAGAGGAATAAATTGTTCAAGCTGCAGCACAGAAAGAAGCCCCCAAAGCTAATGAGCCCATTGATGGTGTGCTGGCAAAGAGTGAATGTCTGCCCTCTTGGTAAGATCACACTGCAATAAAAAGTCATCTTCACAAGTTACTATAATACATTTTGGTACTACGTTGAGCCCTGGAGTAATATAATAATCTACTCCTAAAAATTAATTAAAGAGGTGTTCTTTTTCTGCATTGGATTCGTATAAAGTAATAAAAAGACTTCTTCTGCTTGAAAGAAAAGTAAAAGTGTTTTTCTTGTTTTTACAACCCTAAAGGAGAAAGAAATTTAGTAGTTTACTTTTGACCTAAACATGCTAATAATGCTAATGCACAGGAAGTTACCTGGGATATTATGGTTGACTATTATTTATTTATTTCCTATTTATTGACTCATTCATTAGTATTAGTGTAACTATTTATTGTGTTTGGCAATTTCACTCTTGAATTCCAAGTTGTTGACACAGTTTTTTAAGGTAGTAACTATTAAAAAGAAGACATTAATATTTAGAATCTGCTTCTATATTTGAGAGAAAAAAATAAACGTACATTGAATTATATAACAACACTCCTTTAAGCGTATCATCTAAATCAAGCGAATACATTATAAATCTTCTGGGACTACTTAAATAAGTGCTTGTTCTTACAATAACACTGTGTTGCACAGTGGCTTTTCAGAAATGAGCGTGCTGCGGCACTTTGCCTTCATTAGAGTTTTCACCATTGCCATCTAACTTGATGAGGGCCAAATGCCAAAACGTGTTCACTTCTGATTGCTGCTACGCTTAAAAAAAATCATTCAGATATCTTTTAGCAGTGTGAACATTTGCTCTTAAGGATATCCTTGATTCTGCTTCAGTGCTTCTGGTTTATTATACCTGAACACAGCATTGTCAAGACTCAGCCTTAATTACAACCCTCTATCAGAAGAGTTCATAAGAAGAAAAGTACCTTTTCTCATTAAATAGCTTTTAACATTTTGATCACATCTCTGCCGGCTTTACATCTTGACATTCAGCTTACCCTTAAATGTCTGCAGATGAGCGAGGACAGGCAGTCCTCGTGTTTACAGGCAAACTGCGTGTTTATCGGTTCGTCCCGGTGTGCTCCGATCTAACGTACAAGCTTGGTAACCGGTCGGGCTGAGTGAAGCATCAGAGCTCCACAATATGAGGGGAAATCGATGGTGCGTTTTGGCCCCTTGGGCTCAGAGCATATTGTGTCACCTTCTTAAATGAAAAATGAATGGGGGGAGAAATGAAACTCACAGGGGTGGAACGAGCCACGGCGGAGGCTGTCGACAAGATTCCTCCACCTCACCTCACCACCCTAACCTCAGCTATCAGCAGCACCCAGCACCCAGCTCTGTGCACATGAAACAAGCAAGGGTAGGACTACTCGTAGGGAAAGGAGACAAGGGCAGGCAGAGGTGGATTTACAAATAGGCCATAGTCCTCAAGAAACTATAATTAATAAAGCTGTCACTGCCCAGTCACCTCTGATAGGACACCGAAGAGCCACCTCATTGAATAGCTAACCTGTGGTATGATGAGGCATGTCAGACAATGGCCTTTGAAGACGTTTCTAGCTCAGCCTCGTGAAACTTTGTTAGAGGAACACACCATTTTGAGTAAAAATACCCTCCAGTGTAAACAAAGACAGAAATGTCCACCTAAAAATAGGCTGTTCGCCATTAAAATGTCAGTTCAATTTTATACAAAGAACCATTTTATTACTTACCTCTGTGTATTTCTATCCATGCAAATATTTTCAGTTTTATGTGCCTATGTTTATGAGATTTCAGCTGTTGTAATTACTCCTGCGCCCCAGCACAATGGAGGTGAATGGTACTAATCTATTGAGCTAACAAAACTGACATTTAAAAAAGGTGCATCTTTTCCTAGAAACACTTTTTTGTTTCAACTCCTCCTTATATAAAGTTTTGTATTTTGATTGTTTTTATGTTTGTAGGCGACTTATCTATGAATGCTTCATTGCAGATTCACTGCTTCGAATTGCCTTTTGAGAGGAAAGGAAAATGTTGGAAATGGATTGACTTAATCCACAGAGCTCACTCTCTAACTTAAGAAGACAGTTCCTGGAGAGAAATACAGCTGCTGAAGTTAATTTGTTTTGATGTTGCACGCATTGCAAACAAAATTCAAGTCACCTCTGTCATAGCGGGAAAAGCTGTAAATGTCAGAGAGACATATTTCTAAATGTGACATAAAATACCTATCTGCACGGCTGACCACTACCAGGTATTTATTGGAATATATTACCCTTTAAAATAGCAATAAGGTGAAAGTATAATAGGCATGTAAAATTTGCTTTCCAACCTTACTTATGCTAATAATCCTAGTATCTTCTACTAGCTTAACACCTTTATTTTGGCAAGGTTACTTCTTTAGATTTAACTGTCCCATAAAAGTTTGCATGACAGTTCATGTGTAATATTTTCAGACTTTTTTGTCCCATCCCTGAGCTGACAGACATGATTTGTTGTCAGCACTTTACAGCTTTGTGAGCTTTTTTTGAGATGAAATAACAGAAAACGTGAAATGATGTCAGTTTGGTGAAACCAAAAACCAAAAACACCGTACCTGAGACGGGATCTGCTGGAGGAAAAACAGAAGTCAAAGATTTAGAGGTTCATTTCTAATCAAAGCATTTATGAAAGAGATGGATTCCAAACCAAAAAAGGGAAGCAAATAATAAAGTACCAACGTTTTCTTAGCCACTTATCCAAATGGGGTCTATAGCCTACTACCAGCTGTCAAGGGGCGGAAGTGAGGTCACCAGTCACAGAGCAACAGACAGAGAAAAATGGCTAATTTAAAATCACCAATTAACCTAACAAGCATTCCTTTGCACTGTGTGAGAAAACCGGTGCAAATCGAAGAACCCCACACATTGACAGGGAGAATATATACACACAACCAGGAGATTTGTCTTGGCACGTGCTCAGTAATTTAGGTACATTTCATCTCTTATCCATGAGACTTTTTCAGTCTCAGCTGATTGCAGGTTTCCCCGGTCTTATAAACAGTACAACTGCATAATGATCAAAATTATCATCATTATGTATCAATGAGCCACAAGCTCGGTTTCCTGATCATTGATATGCAAATTGTCATGAGCATTAATCAGTGGCCATGAGCATTACTCACAGAGAACTGGAGAATGGCTGAAATCACAGACTGCTTGAACTCTGAGATGGTCATTCCTTTTTACATAAATATCTGCTCAAACCAGAATTCCTTCCTCATCCTTTCATTTAAAGAGTGGCCACTGGCATGTAGGTGTAAAGAGTGATGATTGATTGCAACCACTTAGCAGTGGTTACTTGGTTTCCTCAGTGCTTTTGGCACTAGTAAGTAGTAATCCTGCTGTGAACCTGATGCTTGCTTGAGGTGGACCATTTCTTGTGCATTGCATTTCGGGTTTGAAAGCCACAGAGACACAAAGTTTTAAAAAATATGCATCTCAACTCTTCCAACACTCGTGACATATATGAGATCAACAATGCTTTTCACTTGGGCAGCGAGTGTCCTCCTTTTCTCTTGGATCTCGTAACTCATCGTTATGCAGTGGTGGTAGTTTTGATCGTTATGCAACTGTACTGTTGATAAGCCTGGGGAAACCTGCAATCAGCTGAGACTGAAGAAGTCACTTGGATGAGTGATGAAACATTTGTACCACTGAAAATGTTGCATCCAAATGAACTCGATCAACTTTCTGGAAATCGGGAGTTATTAACCTGCCCTAGTGCTAACTCTTGCATCATCAAGGCTTAGTAAAAAATGATAAATGCACTTGTCTCAAATATGAACATTTGCAGTTTTTGCAATTTGTTTCTTGTTTTATAGTGTTTAACTGTGGCATCACTTTAGGAGATATCAGCTATTCTCTCAGCAAACTGTCTGTTGAATGCACACTGACACGGCAGCAAGTCACCCAGTACAGACAGTACAGAATATGAGCTAAGCTTCCAGACCATATGATTGCTTTGCTAAATTACATGTTTTTGTAGCTATTTTAAAACAGGACACTGAGTTTCAGTTATTTCATGTATTATCTGAAATGTGTTATCACAAAACTTGATTGAATCATCTGTTAGAAACAGCACAGGAGTTGCATTCAATTAAAAAAAAACCCAGCTGCTTAAGAATTATATGAGATAAATACCAACTTCAATGCATGTGATCAGAAAGGAGAATAAGAAACATTCTGATAAGCTTGTGCTGTTTCCTGTGTTTCATCTTCTCCTATTGAAGCTTTAATGTCTGTCTTCAAAACATGTCTATTTTTAAACATATGCATGTTTTTTATGATTCAGATCAAAGATTTTGGTCCTAATGAGATATGTTTCTATTGTGAAAGCAGTAGTTTAAGTAGGACGTACTACTCTGAAAGCTGCTGAGAAATACTGTATACAAATCCCTTCTAAATACTCCTTTAAATAGATGGATTTTCAAACTTTTGAAAAATTACAAAAATGTCATCATCTGAACTTTTGCCAAAACCAAAGAGTCATCATCCCCAAAAGCAAATACGAAGGTACACGCACAAACTCTTGCACAGAGACATGCACAGTACACAACTGTGTCTTTGGCTTGGCCACTCAGGGAGGATTGAAATACTGACAGCCTTGGATGATGATGCAATAGCCAGCAACTGTCAACTTCACGGAATTACAGTAAGCTGCTTTGTCAAAATTCAGAGAGGCTCTATTGAACTCCAGGATACAAGCGCCCCGCTGGGATTAATGTGCAATTCACTAAGTCTGAGGGAAAAAAAATCTAAAATAACAACGTTCTAAAATTGGGAGGGCCTGCGAGATTACACAGCATAAATCTCCCATGTGTACTCACAGGAATATAACTCCAATTAAGGCTGGCATCAGATGCTCACAAATATTAACAGACAGCAATTATACAGAAATTGTCTGCAAGGCAATTTGGGAAAGGGCTTGTGGATGCCAAATGCAGGCAAAATCCATTCTCCTCTCTGGAAAGAACAACAATGATTGACTGGATGTCTGAGGGCCAAAAATAAATCTGGAATGAGCTGCGCCTGTTCCACTGGTAGTTCCTCTTGATGCTGCGTGGCTTTCACACAGTATTCTGTTAAAAAGCAAGAGGCTGTTAGCATTCATGCTGATTGCCTTGCTGACACTGTTTAGTGTAAGTGAAGAGGTAATCTGAGCAACAGCAGAGGTTGTAAACTTGGGCGTTTTTAGGTACCAACAAAAAAAATCTAATCTGACAATCGCATACCCCGAGGATCAGACTAGATCAAGTTCTCTCAGTATGAAGTGCCAGATTAGTCCCTGTAGTTGTCCAACTCAGTTTCACTTCATGAAGCTGCACTGGCATCAACCCAACAGGCTGTGTGTACCATAGAGCGAGAGGCATAGCGAGTATAATTTATGTGTCAACATTTACCACAAGTACTATGAAGCCCTGGGGGTACCAAAGTGGGTTAGGGTTAATTAAAATGCAAACTGTTAGCTGAAGCCTTCTTTCAACTCCGCTTTCTCCATGATGTGCAATTCAAACCTTGAGTTCTGTGGACGGACATCAAATTTTGATGCTTTCTCTAAGAGTAAGACGTTTGCAAACCACAAAAGGCAGAACTCTGATTACCAGCACAGCCTGTTCTCCTCCCCGCTCTCACAATAATGGGAAAAAAATGTATGAGTAGAAAAGGTGGAGAGATTTTTTTTCATCTAAGTTCTGATGTAAAATCATAGCAATGCCCAACAGTTTTAAAATGGGTCATTTTTATTCCTTCGTCTATATGCTGTCATTTTTCCCAGCTATTGATGAACTCCAGAGAAAGCATTTCTTCATAATGAACCTCATTCAGTAGCAGAAGCTTTCATCCCTGAGCTGGCATTTGAATTGAAACTACACCTGGGCAAGATCTGATACTGGTCACTGTGGAAACGGATGACAGTGCATGAAAAGCAGACAAAGACCACCTCTCGTTGAGATGCTGAACTCTGCCGTGTCTTCAGGCAAAATAAGAAGATGAAACAAAAAATGGTTTTGTTGAATCTTGCAAAACAAAAAACAAAGCAGTAAAACAGTTCTTGAAAAAGACATATGAAAAAGATCAAAGTCCAGGTTGACCTTACAAAACCTTGCATTTCACTTTTTTTCACTTCCATAAATCCTCTCAAGCGTTCTTGAGAAAAAAATCTGACTTACGTATGGGGTTGGCACAGGTTTCTATAATAGTCGCACATCACCTCCATCCAGCACCAGCACACTAGTTTAAAGCCAGTTGATGGTGCCAAGGATGACTGGCGACAGCTGGGCGCCTCTTACTCATTTTAAGGGTCATCAAGATTTAATGTTACATTAGTGGCTTCGCTGGGTTTCCCTTTATCTTCTTCGACAGTGTTGACTTAATTATGCACAGCAGTATCACACTCATCTTGGTCAGCCCAGACACATGGAGAGGAAAAGGGTAAAGCAAAGGAGCTGCCTCTGTACCTCTCTGTGTATCTCGCTACGTTAAGTATCCGTGCTCCTTTTGATGTGGATGAAAGTGACACAGAGGGCTGTCTGGGGCCGTGCATACAGATTAAAACGCCGACACATACGCACACGCAGTCTTTCACCAAGTTGTAAAAGTAGGTCCTTCCTCTAGGGCTGAACCCCTTCGGTATCCCCCTTCATCTTTTGTCTTTGTCTGAAATCCCAGCCCCTCCCAGCAGTCTCTAAACACAGACACCAGGAACACAAACTGACATTCCGGATTACTGTCAGGCCTACAATACAAAGCCAGTGCCAACAGTCAAATAAAATGCGCTGACAATCTGAGCCACTGCCAAAAGAATAAAGCTGAAATATGATGAGAAGAAAATATAGGAGGGATTTTTTTTTGTGTAATTTTTTTTCCAAAAGGAAAAAAAAGTGACAGCCCTGCAAAAACTGCAAATTGGTGAGACTTGCTGCTGTGAAAATGCAATAATTAGAACTATTCAAAGTTCTATGCACATCTAACTAGATTGCATCTATTTAGAAACAATAAATTAAAGGCAGTTTTGACAGGTAGCTCTTACATTGATGTCTTCCAGGTTCAAGGAGTTCAGATACTGATGGTTTCTCTTCCACAATATAGGAGGTCTCCGTTCACCTGTGATGGCGCAAGTCAACACAGCACTCTGGCCCACGGTTACTGTTGTCACGCTGACTTTCTGGTCCTCTGGAAGGGTGAGCAGGTACGCATCTGTTGATGAGATAAACAGAAAAGTTTGAGTGACTGTCTTTGGCTCAATTTATGATTTTTGAAACATTTAACCTTCTGAGTAAAAGTAGCCTCTCTAAACTATGAACATGAAGGCTAACAGTAAAAAATATGATTCAACTCAGTCATCCTATATTTTTTCTGCATTGAGTACTCACGGGCTTTTCATTCTTCTAATGGCTCACAATTTACCCACTGAGATGTTTCAAAATTCATGGATTTCTCACATCTTTCTTGAAGCATAAAAACGAAGCATAAAAATAAGACACACAATACAAGCGTGTCTCAATTAGTTGCTACCGTGCTATAGCGGGAGACACTTCTTTTTTTAAATATGCACCGAGGCAGCACAATTATTGCATTTTGCACAGTAATGAGAGGGAATTAAGTTTAACGTTCTGTAAACACTTTGCATAATTTATGTGAAGATACTTTAATGGAAGTTCTGCTTTATCAGCCTCTCTGCAGAGTCTGTGTCCACCACTATGTATTTCTTTTTTTAGCTAAAAGAACAAACCTGACACTCTTGGGAGGCACCAGTACTACTCTTCGGCTGACTACTAAAATCTCAACTGAAGCGTGGTGCTTTGTAACTTAAAGCTGGAATATTTTTAACATGCTCAGTGTTCTAAGAGTTTAAAACATCTCCATGCTGTTGTAAAAGCCCAGGAGTACACACTTTCTGATGAAAGTAACATTGAAATCAAAAAAGAAAAAGGAAAAGAAAAAAATTCTCTATGTTCACAGAGGTTCCCCACAGAAACACAACCCCTCACCTCAACCAGAGTTAGTTTTTTGCTCGCTTCAGTATTTCTGCAGTACACCAAAGTGTTTAAAGCCTCATTCTGATGATGATGAGACCAACACAGAGAGAATACTGCAAGTAAGTCAGATCGGGTAGCTTGGCGAGAGGTCACCATGGCTGAAGTTGTTTAATGCCTTGGTGCGTCCAGTATTTTGAAGAGACAACAAGTACAATTTACAGTCCAACATTCTTTGCTGATATTATGTAATGTGGCCTGTGAAAGAATGCCTTTTAATCTTTCTCTTGGGTAATGAGCAATGGAGCAAAAGGAAACAGAGACTCAATTTGTTCTGCTCCTAAGGGCATGAAATACAAAACCTAATGAAAGAGCAGGTCCAACAGTGTTCACTTGCCACAGCCCAGAGAATGAGGATGAGAACACCTTCAATTACAGCATGACTCCTGTGGCCCTTTTACCAGTGTCTGCTGATTGCTTTTTTTAACCTTCTCACTCATTTGCTGTGTTTGGTCCACTTGTTGTGTCTTTGAACTGTGAACTTGGCTAGCGTGTTAGATCCAAGCTAATCACACTGAGACCGCGTGAAAACTCATACTTCTTTTCAGTGGGAAGCTTTGAGTTAAGACTTCTAATCTCACATTTGGCCCAATGAAACCCTGTTTAAGCCCAGGCAAATCACTGCTAGGATTACATCAAAATTAGAGGATTAATGAGAGCCCTTTCTTCTGAGTGAAGAATAACTAAGTTTAAATGATTATACTGTTAGTGAAGTGTTGAACAAACTCTGCTGTAATTTATAAGGCTGCAGTTTCTTCTAGAATTTTTTTTCTTATTCAACTGATGAAAAAGTGATTAAAAAAACACTGACTACCACTATAGCTCATTGGAGTGAGTCAGTGACCCGTATACCATTAGGCTATTGCATTAGTCTGTGCTTGAATAGATGCATTGGATAGATGAAAGAACAAAGACTCCTTAGCTACATCAGGAAGATGACCTATGTGCTTAGAGAATAACTCAGATAGCAAAAACCCAAGAAATAAGAGCAAGAAAAGGAACCATTATGGAAGGACGGATTTCTGCACGACATGTACCACCAGCAGATGGAAGAAGTGGCTGATATCGTAAAATCCTATCAATGGCTGGACAAAACTGGGCTGAAAGACAGCACAGAGGCCCTAATGATGCCAGTACAGGAATGAGCTCTCAACGCAAGATCAATAGAGGCTGGGGTCCACCACAGCAGCCAAGACCCAAAGTGAAGGCTGTGCAAAGATGCCCCTGACACAATTCAGCACATAACAGCAAGATGCTCGAAGTCTATATATAACCAGAACACCATAAACAAGTGGCTGGCATAGTATACAGGAACATCTGTGCGGAGCATGGCCTGGAAATTCCTCGCACAAAAAGGGATACGCCCCATAGGGTGGTTGTGAATGACCAAGCTAAGAGCTGGTGGGCCTTCCAGATAAAGGTAAATAAACTGGTGATGGCTAACCAACCAGTAGTGGTGGACAAACAGAAGGCCATAGTGATACATGTAGCTATAATACCCAGCTGACATGGTCAGCTAAATCTGTCATAACAACTTCAGGAAGATGGAACTTGCAAACCTAGAGATATACCAAGGGCTGAGAGAGGAGATAGAAAAGATGTAGAAGATAAAGGCAACAGTAGTTTCTGTGGAAATGGGAGCACTCGGGGCAGTGATGCCCAAACTGGACGAGCTGCTCCATCAGATCCCAGGAACAACATCTGAGATCTCTGTCCAGAACCACACAGTCCTAAGAATCGGAAAACAGACTGTGCAGGACCCTCAAGCTCCAGGCCTCTGGTAGAGGACCCAAGCTTGAAGGATAAACTTGAAGGATAAACTTTAGATTTCTTAATAATTTTTTATTTTGTTATATTACTATGTGTGTCAGCACGACAATCCCCTAGGAGATGAAAATTAAAGTGTTTCCTTCTTAATAACAAATGATCTTGAACACAAATACTGAAGTTGAAAAGAAAAGTTCAAACTAAAACCTAAAAAGCAAACATTTTTGCTCATTAGTCAGTCTCTTTTGTTGGTTAATGATAAAATGTCATGTGATGCCCAGCACAGACAGTATTTTTTTAGACGGAAATAAATAATAAACCTGCCACTTGTTTTGATTTAGAAAAAGCATGGTGAAAATGATACATGAAAAGCAATAACCAGCTTCATAAACGATTGGAACATCTCCCCTGTGGACACCGTAATATGACAGTCATTTGATGGAACACATTTGATTAATTAAGAACTGCTTCAATGTAATAAAGACATGACAACAGTTGTCAGCGGGGGTGATATGAGAGCTGTCATGGATGGAAATAAATAATAATGACTGAAGGGAAATGGAAAAACATTTAGGAGCAAAAACTAGTTTTATAACAGCTCATTAGATGTGTTTTTTATGCAGTGTTGATGTACACGGACAACTTCAGGTCAACAAGGGAAACGCTGTTTCAGGGCTTACAGATGCACTGCTCTCTTTAGCTCACCTCTTCAGTATTTCTTCATGTTTCAGCAAAGTGGATCCACTGCTACAGGTAGCATATAACTTCTGCTAACATAACAATTTATGTCACCCCCTTTATTTTAGGATATAAGACAAAGTTGTAAGGACCCTAAGTATGGCGCAGGGTTGGTAGACAGTAAAGATTGTGTAGGAAGGCCAAAAAAACTGTTTCCATTGTGATGTTTGCGGGCACACAACAACCCAGTGGCACTGGTCGTGTTTGCCATATACTATCTCTCAAGAGCCTGAGGACATTACAGCAGAACTCATAGTGCACAACCCTGTAAATAAGTGCTACTGATGCAACTCTTGACCTATTGCACCCTCATTGTGTTTTCTTAAGAACACTGTAGGCTATATCAATGAAAACTGAAGCAGCAGCTCCAGCTCGTGTCACTCGCCTTAAATACTTAGAAGTTGTCAAAATGGAAGAATTGCTTCTGCTTTTAAAGCTATTAGTAACTAAGAGACAAGGTGACATTTTGCCAGGTTCACCAATTATTACTTTTCAGATGTTCCACAAGAGTTTTTTTTTGGGGGGGGGGGTGTCACTGTTTTTGCTTAAGAATCACACAATTTGTCCACTGGTTTTTTACCTTCCGTCATAAATTTCTTTCAAATGCTTGGCAGGCAAATTTAAGATGACTATATATTCTTAAAACAGACATTTATCAGTTCAAACATTTGATTTGTACTCTTTATACTACTATCATTAATAATTTAAGAGATCATTGCATTCTATTTTTATTGACAATTTGGTAAGTCTGGTTTACGTTTATCCTTCTTGTAATAAATGGTTATTTATTTTACTGCAACTTTGTTTAAATCAAAGTTCATGAGAAAATGCTTCAGGCTGAGTCTGAGTGTACTTTTACCAAATTCATGTTACATTAACTATAGTCATAGCAACCCAAAAATGAAGCAATCAAGGTGTCAGGTAAAATTAACAATGTCCAGAAGAAAACATAATTGGGAAAGTAAGAAGAAAAACAAAGCAAGGAAAACAAAACACAATAACATGACCCTCATGCAGAAAGCAAAGATTTAAGGAAAATGGATCCTCAGTCACTCGTGGCCACATACCTCCTCCTCCCCTGACACTGATAACAATATAGCCAGCAGATCAAGGAGCTACTTGGTGCTCTACATGGTGCTGAGGTGGTGGTGGGTGGATACACTGACAAAAATCTCCTTCAATAATGTCCTCCCTAACCATTCAATTACAGCACCCTTGTATCTTAATGCTTTTGGAATACGCTGCAAGCAACAAACTCGATTTGCTGCTGATCCCCAGGGGGATAGAAATCTGTGAAGGTATAGGGAGAATTTTAAGAAGAAAGTGGGCAGGCAGACAGGCAGGCAAGCTTTAGCTATTGGGTGGAGCAAGGGTGGGATGGAAGGGAAGGGATCCGACCCGAATGAGAAAATCCTCAGAGAAAGGGGAGTCTGGGCGGCCAGAGCCAGCTGAAAGCCTTCAGCGTGCAGGAGCTCCTGTGTTAAAGATTTATCAGTGGAGGAAGTGGCACCGGCTCCTCTTTTTGGTCTGATTTGAGGCCTGAGGGACTCAGCCCCCAGAGAAGGATCAACCTTCACCGTTCGACCTGTAATTAGTGATTAACGGTAAGGTCCAGACTTTTGATTTACTCTCCTCTGCTCTCAGAAGGGGATGTTG